TGCATCACCAGCTCGATCCCGTTCAGTATCGGCGGTGCATTCCGCGTGTACCGGAAACCCACCCCTTCCGCCGAGAGCAACGGACCCGGGAAGCGCAGTTCACTGGCATCGGGCAGGAGAATCGAGGCACCTCTTTCGTCCGTTGGTACTTCAATCTCAGCTCGCGCGGTGAGATGGTAGCCCACCAGATCCCTGTTCAGTTTGAAGCGTCCGCCGTTGGCGTTGACCTGAATGCCCATGCGGTCGTCGACTTTCTTCTGCCGAGACTTGGCCATCCGAAGCTTATTGTCGTCGTTGGTCTTCTTCCCCAGTTTGATGTTCTCTCGAATCGCAGCAGCTGCCTAGAAGGGGTCCTTCTAGGTGCGGGAAGTTGGTGTTAATTAATCAAATAACTATATGGAATGAAGTGGGATAGGTGTTGCGCTAGATAGCGCAGGGGAGACATTGCAGCCCTATGGCAGGCTGCTTTAGTTATATATTCTACTTTTAATGTGGCTATACGCCAAGTTCTTATGTCTTTTCTGCATTTATGGGCTTTATGGATAGGTGTTTAGATACTAGATTCCTGCTTCATTTGGCAAAGTGCCTGCATAGCTAATTTCTCTAATCAATAGGCTACATCAGGTTAACAGAATCTTGATTAATTGACAGTCATAACTGCGGGATGACAATTTCTAAAGGGAGATACTGCGAGTCAGGCTATCCCTATATATATATAGTTAGTCTTCATTTTCCCTGTTGTATTCTATAAAAGTCTTAGGAAGAAGATGGTTGCAACATAATTTTGATCCTATATGCGCCAATGCTAGTACATACCAAAGACTGCTAATATTATGCATTCTCACCAAAACATTTCAGTATCCCACCATCATTTGAGATCCAATCATCTGTTCACTATTGTCAATAGCCATACTAGTACTAGTAATTAATATAGAGACTAACCTGTATTAATCGCAGTAAGACTATTATCACAAGTGGCAATGAGCACTGGGCCAAGCAGATATGGGTCCCTACAGTTTTTAAAACCACCGCTGTAGATACGTGTTAGTAAGAGAGATCAAGTTAAGAAATATAATAAAAGAAGTAGGTAACTGGGTAAAGAGGGAGTAAAGAGGTATAGAGATATAATTATAGATAGTAAGGGAGAGACCTTACCGGTGCTGGCCAATGAGTTTACCATTATTATTGGCAAAACATAAACCCAGATGGAGTGGATAATGATATGACAATCTGTATTCATTACCATTTTCATCTTTAGGTATTCTGCAAGTGGCATAAATTGCGAAGAACCAAGGATTGTCAAAATTGTCGGTTTTCTGAATTGTTATATTCTTAAAATCATTGCAACTTTCAAAGTAGCCAGAGTCTGCAATAACATCAAGAGCAAAGTAGCTCAAAGCTGAAAAAGCAAGGATTGGTAAATTGATGAAGTGCATAGTATGGGTTAAAAGAAACTAGAAAGTCTTGTTATCAGTTAGTTAATACAGATGAAGCAGTTAAATATTATTTTAAAGGGGGGAATGCAGTGTCCTTTATAGAATTGAAGTTAAAGCTAATTTAAAAAATGCTAAGAATGTAAAACTTATTACTAGGTTTAATATATATATATAACTAGCATTACAATAACTTACCAGAGCATAGGAAATGCCAAGAGTATAAAGTTCTATTATAAGGTTTCAGGTATATATATATAATTAGCTCATAAAATTTGAAAATTAAATTACTGCATCCTTCCTTATCTTACTAGGGGTTTATAGTTTAGTAAGGTCTCACCCCTTAACTTATTCTCTATTACTACTGTGTTGCTGTCTACTCTTGTATTTCTTTAACTTTCTAAAGGATTGAGTGTGAGTAATATGACCTATAAGAGCTATAATACAGAGGCGTGCACCAAAAGTTTTGACCCCCACTAGTAAGCTTAGCAGTATCCGGCTGACGCAGCCCCTTAGTAATTTATATGGTAATGCGTCCAGAAGGAAAAATCTTTTACATTCTAGTATTCAACTCTTTAATACTGTGATATCGACCAGCATGTATATGACTTTAGGGAAGTCTATTAGGCGTGCAATGATATCTAGTGATTACTATTATTATTTACATAGTTAGTTAGACCTTACATTCATTCTTAGCCTAGGTCAAAATATAAAAGAAGACTGGAATCCCTTAAAGTTAATAAGGATGTATAGGGGCAGCTGCTAGCTTACCCCCTACCCTCACACTCTTTAAAGACTCTATATCCTTAATGACTATGAATATCCTATCTAGTAGCATGTCTGGATTAAGTAAATGCATAATACTTGATTCCTGGGAAGGTTTAAAACCCCTTATAAAGGATTAATCTGAACTATGGCAGCCTCAGTCTGCTAACCCTTAGGAATGCTATTAATAATTTAACTTTAATAAAATCCCTCATATTAATCATCCCTAATTTAACAGAAAATGCCTCAGATTGATAGTTTTTAACCTCCTCAGACTAATCTAGATACCTGTGATGGCAATGATTTGCTATCCCTTACACCGATGCCCCGTCGCTTCCATGTGCGTGATCTGACGCTCTTGTGCCTCCTTCATGCGGCCCCAGTAGAGTTTCTGTTCTTCAAAGTCTTTCTCGTAGGCGGACAGGTTGCCTCTGAAGTAGGTTAGTTTCTGGTCGCGGAGGATGACGATCTCCTCGCAGACAGCGTTAACAAAGTCTCGGTCGTGAGATACCAGCACGATGGTCGTCTGGGACGAGTCTCGTAACCGCTGTAGGTAATTTTCCAACCAGACGACTCCGAGAAGATCGAGAAAGTTAGTCGGTTCATCTAGGATCATGATGTCCGGGCTCTGCATGAGAACGCTGGCCAACAGGCAACGCATGCGCCAGCCCCCGGATAAAGCCAGGAAAGTTTTGCTGAGTGTGGCTTCGTCAAACCCCAGTCCGACGAGGATCTGGCGAGCTTGCTTCTCAATATCAACAAGTCTCATCTGCCATGCTTAGTATTCATCATCATCATCTGAACCTAGTTTCGGGCACTCACAGCTTCAAACTGAGCCTGTAATTCCTGCAAAGTATCCATCGCCGCCTGTGTCTCGGTCTTGAGCGCCTCCGCATCAATAGGCTGATCAGGCTGCTCGACCCTATCACCAAATGAGTCGACTTTCCAAACCTTCCAGAGGACAACTCACAGCTCTTTCGAAGCCTGGTATCTCGCCTCAACCACCTTCGAGTCCTTCCGAGCTTGTAACCCCCTCGCACCACTCTTAAGGCTGGCATTCTTCTGCGCAAGGAACAGCTGCTTCTCAATCTCATCGTGACGGATTCTCCGGATCGCCTGCACTGGTGACACCGGATCATCCGTCTCGAAGCTCTTCGACAGGACTTCACAATCGTTAGCCGTTTTCCGTCAAAAAAGGCTACTGCCTTACCACTCATCTTCCGCACAACATCATTCCGGAATCGATCGCTGCTCATGACATACTCCAAAGCGGGCAGATCCCGCCTGTCGCGGTCCTCCCCATCGGACTGGAAGCTCCGCATTTCATCATCCGTCTCAGTCTGCTGCAGAATCGCAATGCGCGTCGGATGCGGAACCCCAGGGACCAGTTTGTCGGCCATAGCGCGGAGCAGCGCTTATCATCATCATTAGCATGGCTAGGTACTCAAATAGGCTGACTCTTAATCAACATACTCGACTTCCCCGTCCCATTGCGCCCAATCAGGCCATAATGCACCCCCGCCTTGAGCCGCAAGTGAGCGTCGAAGATGAGCTCGCGCGCCTCGGCCTTGGATTTCGATTTCGATTTCGCTTTCCCCTTTGCTTTGGGGTTTGAGGGGTCCAGGTCGTCCGCCGAGTCGGCCGGTGAGGACGTGACTGCGATGGTGAGACCTTCTACGTCGATCTGGTGTTGGGTTAGCGCGTGTCCTGGCGATGGTATGGGCGTATGTATGCGTATGTATGCGTACCTCCTGCGCGGGCTGGTCGTGGAGTAGATGGAATCGGGTCTGTTTGCAGGTTGCTATGATAGAGGGTGCCATTGTCATGGTGTAGGTACTAGGTGCAGTGCGCGGTGGGAGTTATTCTATACTATACAGTAAATGAAAGAATCTTCGGTTGATCAATGCCTTGATTGTATATTGTTAAATATGCCCTCTCCTCGTCAACTACAACGCCAATGCACGATATTAGTATTGAATAGCCACCACACCCTAATCGACTACAACCTCGGCCACAGCCCATTCGATAATCACTTCTCGGAAAAGATTTACATAATGATTCCCAGATTGCACTGAGTCACGATGTTTGTGGATGCGGTTGAGAAGTGAGTGCAGAGCGGGGTCCGAAAGGGGAATAGTGGCGATCAGGTCTGCCTGAGGAATTTCATCTCATTGATGATGGTGGTGAACCCTATGGATCAAGCTGATATATGTGAGTGCGATGGATCAGTCAATGTGAGTCATTTGATCAATGGATGGAGAAAATGAATGTGGGTAATTTTATGTAGTATGAGATATGGTCAGAATAATATTGCGGAGTCTTGTACAGAAAAGCCGCAGGCTGAAATATCAGAGTAGCAATATTGTAGATTACATAGCATATAGAGGTTTAAAAGATAAATGGCAGATACCTGGATGATCATCGCAGCATTACTAGTATGTAGATACTCTAGATAAGGTGTATGCACAGCTATCATTTGATATTATGATTTTCGCCACTTGAAGCTTTTAATGCCTCGTTATCGGCGACAACCATCCACATCGATACAGGTACTCACCACAACCATTCTCTGGTATATGATGAACTAGATACATGATCAGTCAGGCCACCATGACAGAGGAGCAATCAGCATACAGCAGTATGAAATCCATCATCTGACCTGCGTCGTGAACGCAATCATGACCTCATCCCAGCCACACTTCTGAACCCAGCATATAAGGGCCATGAGTTCCAAACCAACCATTTCGAAAAGCAAATCAGAAGTCAACTGAATTTCAAATCTCCAACATCATCATCATCATAATGAGTTCCAACTACAACCTCAGAAGCGGCGCCAACCCAAACCAAGACCAGCCAGAAGGGATGGCCGGTGGGATGGGCGGCGAGCCCGAGTTCCAGCAGTCTCAGTCGCAGGAAAACCCCGAGCTCCAGTCGCAGCAAACAAACCCCCGGATGCAGTCGCAAACACAACCCGGGATGCAGTCGCAAACAAACCAGAAGAGCCAGGAGAGTAGCTTCCAGACCTCGGAATCCACTAAACAGGTGCGCATCCAGTTTCCCCTTGACCCAAATTGTAGCAAGTTCCTGATTACTGAATCGTTGCGGTCGGCGACCAGACCTCCAAGAACGATGTCCAATGGGGCAATCAGCCTGGCCAGTTCAGTGCCTCGGAGACGAATCCAAAGCCATCTGGAGCGTACCATATGACCGGTGACCAGCTCTCTCATCCTCAGGAGTAGTGATGCTTTTTTATGTTTTGACGAGGTTCAACTCGAGTAAGCTGCGGTAGTGTAACATGATGAGTAAAAGTTTAATTGTATCTGCAAATATGTATGCTTGAATGAGTTTTGGGGATGAGAATGAATTGAATATCGAGATCCTGTTCATGTCAATACAGAATGGTCTGTCAGCTAGACATCCAGTAGTCATCGGTGTCACTACTTTGGTGCTTTCGGAATGAATGGAGTCAGCCCACTACCCAGATGGTCAACAGTCAACACCCTTGTGACTGTGAGATACTCACTGTGCAGTTGGGCGGCGCGGGAGTATTGAGATGACCAACCTCGCTCACACAATGACTGCACAGAATGAATGCACCAGTAGCCAATCTGTAGAGCTTCCCTCAGTCATCACCCCTTTCCTAAAGAGACCGGTCATTCTGGAACCCCTGTAGACGTGTGCAACTTGACATCAAACCGAGCCGTGGAATCGTGGTCGGAGAGGCATCGCAATGCAACCCACAGAAGTATGGTCAGTATCAGATCAGACTAGTGGATCGCTCTCGATCAAACCACAGATAACTGTAGATTAGATGATGAAACAGGGGCACAAAGAGAAAGCAGCCTTGCAAGGCATTTTCCACGATCCATAATCCACGATTTTCAAGTCTAGACGCCCATGAGGCTCCTCTGAGACGATAGAGTCAAGGCCTAGACTGGACGAGACAACGCCGCATCTGAGTGGACGGACTTTATCAATTCCGATGGATATCCTCTCCCGTACTCCATACGAGTTTCATAATTATTTACCCAGATAGGTATGTCGTTCACTGGTCCATGGTAAGGAGAGCGGCGGATTCTTGCCGAGCCCTCACTCCTCAGGAGGAATTCGGACTTTGGCATAACCTGTGGATCGGGTAGACAATTAGGCTAGACGCACACGTTGGATGGGTTATCTCATGCAGTATCTACTTCGGGCCTGTCCAGATGACTATGTGATCGTGCTGCGCCTCGACAGACAGAACAAAGCCAATCGCGTTTGAAGATATTCTGTAGCCTGGCTGTGGCTTTTGCTTGTCAGCCGAACGAGAACTCTTAACGCCGATACCGGATTCGGCAATCTGGCCCGGTTGCCGTTCACAGTTGTCGCAGTCGAGGTCGGTTCCTCACCATCACAGCTGAACTCGTGGCTGAGCCGCCAATAACCCAGTCGAAACAAATAGACTGATTCATTGTCAGTTTGAGTACTTGGACGGGAAACACATTTGCCGTTTTAAACTTTGGCAGAGGCCTGTAGTCAAGTTCCACTGCCGAAGATTCCCCTTTTGGCCCAAATAGTTGCTAAAGCTGATCAAGAATAGTGGTTAGATGGCTTGCAGGAGTGGCGGTGCGGCTAGTCGATAACTACTCCGTACCGTAGTAACAACGGAGACGTAGTACGGTGTACGGATAGTACGTAACTATATAGACAGATAGCAGATTGCAAGATAACCTAGAGAATTCTTCAACCTCTCTAGCCGTGCCAAGCTTTGCCTCAGATTTCGCAATGATCCACCATAAACCAGAAAATGAGAGATGTGGGGATTGTGGAAGCCGAGATTCAGCCAAAGCGGTCTTGATTCTTGAAGCCTTCCAGAACAACCCTGATATCCGAAAGAAGGCAGAGCGATGATCTCCACGAGCTACTCGGTCTAGTCATTGTGTCTAGATGTCAAAAGATGACCATTATTATTGAAGATTGAACTTAGCAAAAGTCTTTCATCTGCACTGTCCTTTTCATCAGTTGGTCGCATATGAAGCTCTCCCTCTTGTCCTTGCGTTGTCTGTTTGTTTCGTGCTACTGGAATGTAATGATTTGTAAACATGTCCCAAATTCCTGGATGAAGCACAGATGGTTCAATGTCGAGTTTCATGTCTCAGCAACATAACAGACTCAAATATGTGAACATCCAGCATTTATCCATGTTAATTTCCAGGAAAAAAGGTCTCTTCAAATTAAAAGCAAAACCCATGTATCATTGGCCAATTTGGAGCCACCAACGTCATTTCATGCTCAAAGACGGACCTAGGGTTTGAACGGAGTATGTTCCGGGAAGAGCAACCAATCAAATTAATCCCTAGTGCCATGGAAAGGGATGAGGAGCCCAGTTTCGTCGGACAAACAGACTTGAAACAGCAAAGCGCCAAAAGACAAAACACCAGAGGAGGACCATCTGAGATGAATTTATTTGGGGCAAATGTCAGGGGTACCGAATAATACCGTACCTAGTATTTGATGAGAATAGTCCTTGTATTCCTACCTGATGATGGAAGATAACACAAGCTCAAAATGACATGCAGGCAGTCAACTGGTTGCATATCTCTTGTTGACAGGATCTCTGGTGATCGACTAGGAAGTAAACAAACTGCCAGATCCTGGTCAAAGATCTCCTGATTGTCCACAAGACTTGCCGTATCCAAGACAGTAACAATACGGAACTGGTAAGGGGGGTGTGGATCACCTCACCTCCTTAGGGTGCAGCATTGTTAGCCCTAGGTGTCAAACCAATCAACAGCCACAGCATACGAAGGACTCCGCTTCTCGAAGCTGAGTCAGCGGAGGGACGCGCAAGCCGCTCTACCTAACCTGATTTCTATTCCTGGAGAGGACAAAGTGCCCACTTCCCAAGCCTCCTAGAATAGTCTATGGTACCTCCCGACTCCTGTTGTTCTGCTTCATAGTCTCTGATCCCTCATAACCTATCTGTCTATCTACTGTCTATCAACCTTCCCACCGGTCGATCTACACCATCCTACCGTTACTGCAATTTCGACAGCCTTACTTATCCTCTCACCTTTCTGACCCTTTCCATTAATCTCGACTCTTTGGTTCTTCTTCTCGACTTCATTTCCCTATCCATTCTTTCCTCGAACGATATCCTTCTAGAACCTCGCGTATACGTACATCCTTGAAATCTCTAGCACGCCCTTCTACCGTCATTCGCTACATACATATATTCAGCCGCCCTATCACTCCATCAATTGCCCATCGTTGATCGACCGGACGCTTCATTCGTTCGATATTGGGAGGTACTCGCAGTCCATCAACTTAATGGCGACTCTGGCAGAACCCCCTACGGTCATGTCATCATCAACCTCGCCCATGCCGACCGTGTACGAACAGGACATTGACAGCTTCATCAACCTCGATCAACTCACCTACACATCCGCCGAACCGGCCCGACCAAAAGCCATCCTAGCAAGCCAGCCTTCTCTCCCCAGCTCAGATTTCACCGCCGGCGATGTTCGCAGTGCGACATTTGCTGCCAATGGTCACTCACCTATGGCCTTCCAAGGGCCTAGCCACCAATATGATGAACACAAGCAGCAGACTGGTCTGCCACCAGGAGCTCTAGCTCAGGCAATGAACTTCAATCAGATGGCCGGCGTGACTTTCGGTAACGCGAGCCCTGCTTACCAGATGAATGGCGACATGTTCGCTAGCAGCCACATGAAGCGGGAAGACACGTCATTCGATTTCAATAACATGTCTTCTCGTAACCCGTCTGAAATGGACCTGGAGTCTGACGGCATGGGTGCGGTCCCTTACTATCTCTCACCAAATGTCAACAAGAATCAATTCATCGATCCCAATGCCCTTGGAGGTCACGAAGTCGTCCCTGCCGGGCCTTCCACTCAGGTCGGCCGCATGTATCCGGGAATGCACCAGCAACAAGCAGCCATGGCAAAGGCGGTTCAACAACAACAACAACAACAGCAACAAAAACAACATGAGATGCTTCGTCAGCAGCAACAGCAACAACAACAACAACAACAGCAACAGCAACAGCAGAGCCAGCCCCCTCGCGCCACGAACCCTGCCGTGGAGGAACGGATTACGCGCCTTTTGCAGCAGATGAGACAGAACGCTATGGGTGCTATCGAGGACACGCCATCACCCTCTTCGTCCTTGCCTCAGATGGCAAAGATGAGGAAGGATGAGCAGGATATGGATGAAGATGAAAGGTTACTTGCCAGTGAAGAAGGAAAGAAACTCAGTAGCAAGGAACGTCGGCAGCTGCGCAACAAGGTTTCGGCGCGCGCTTTCAGATCGCGCAGAAAGGGTATGCTTTCAACTCTCGAACGGGGACCATATCCACAGTACTAACATGAACTAGAATATATCGGCCAACTTGAGTCAGAGGTTGCTGCACGAACCAATGAAGCCCACGAACTACGTCTTCAGAATCGTGTTTTGTACGAGGAAAATGCTCGTCTCACTGACCTTGCTCGCATGCTCCTCTCCTCCCCTCATTTCTCTCAGTTCCTGGATGAGATGAGCGTCAATGGCGTCCCCGCTCCCAATCTTCCTCAATCTCAAAGCCAGGTCCCTCAATCCCAGCAGCAGCAGCAGCAGCAGCAGCAGCAGCAACAGCAACAGCAACAGCAACAGATAAAGCCTCAGTCTCAACCACAACCCATGGGGCAGCCGCCCATGCAAGCTAGCATGCCGAGAGAGGCCACTCCTAATCACGGTCTCCCAATCCCTCAGAACCCTCAGGTTGGCATGGTCATGGTTCCTAATCAAACGATGGATGTTTCTGCGATGAGTCTCAACAATGGGGCTTGGAACACCGGAATTGACATGAGCTATGGCAACACTCCTGTCTTTGCTGTCCTCGAGGTTCCGGAGGGTCCCGCCCTCGACGCAGAGATTCTCTCCGGAAAGAGCTCGACCTTGCTCGGAGCATGTTTGCCAGAAGTATCGTCTGCAAAGGATGAACTCCCTAGGATCGAGCGGCCGCCAAACACAGAGCAGCAGATGGATGATTCTCCTGTTGGTGTCGAGAACCCGGATATTCAAATTGACGAGTCTGACCCTGCTTTCGCCCTCCTCGCCGACTCCCCTGCCAGAGATTCGTCGTCAGACTCCCCTGCGGACTTCGCTTGCACCATCCAATCTGAAAAGTCGACGCCTGCATTTGAGCTGGTCGTCGAGAATGAGTCCAAGGCCACTGCAGACCGCTTTGTCGGTCTTTGCAACAGTATGGAGGCAGCCTTCCAACGCGTCTCTATGATGACTTCCCATCTTTCATGATTCCCCCACGCCGCGCGGCCGAGCATTTGTGATACGTATAGGATTTGTAAATCTCATTTATGATATTTGTACTGATTTGGGCTTGTGAGCATCAATCTCCTGTGAGGATACATACTCCCTCTCTTCCTTTGTTCATGGCATTTGACTGTACATCTGCGTCCTGCGTCTCCTTCGTCATCTCTCTGTTTACCTCTCGTTCGATTGTCAATTCTGGATTATTGGAGTCTCGGTGTATTGAAGGACAGGTTCGCTTCTGTTTGGGAAGGGAATAGGAATTGGACGCCTGGTCCATTGGCCATTAGGGACCGATCTTAGCTTTAGTCGAATAAGATCAAAGTCAGAACAAGCTGCAGCTATTCAAAGAATTATCCAATCTAAGAACTGAGTATTCGTAGCGTTTCAATCGGTGGATGTAGTCTAGTCTATACCTCCACCGCCAAGATTCGTCGGGCGGAGGCAAAACTAAAACCAAATTATTCTGGATGACTTCAGCAACCACCCTGACTCACAAACAAAGTCACTCATCCAGGAAGAAGTCACTCAATTTCGGATCCAGGCCCGGCTAGCTTTCTACTGACTCATTCTTGGATTCTGCAATGATTGTGCAGTGCCATTCGTTCCTTCGGTGAAAGCTTTTCAGCAGCCACATTGGCTTCCCTTCTTTTTTCCGGGAGGCTCGTCACCAAAGCCTTTCGCCTGGCTCCGTCGCTAGCAGGCTCTTCTTGCTTCTCCAGAGCTGCGTCGTACCTCAAGTCGCGTCGTCGGGTCTACGAAGGCATATCTGGGCCTCCCAAATCTTCAGTCTCACACCAGTACTTCGATCGTCCGCTCAAGGCTCTTCGCACACGCGACCTTCGCCGCGAGATCAATCCAGACGCCTATCTTCTCAGAGCCCCCAAACTCGAATTCAGACGAGGGAAAACCTACATTTTATACAACCCTGCTTCGCGCCAAGGCTCTGGCTTCGACTCTATACCTACTTCCCCTGTGGGAAACAAACCAATGAAGTTCTACTATCAGGTGCTGACGACGCCGACGGCCGATACGCCGGGCACGACCGTCGTCCTACATTTCCCGGACAAGCGGTATTTCTTTGGGCAGATCTCGGAGGGGACCCAGCGGGCGTGTACGGAGCGCGGTGTCAAGCTATCCTACCTTACGGATATTTTTCTCACGGGGCGGACGGAATGGGCGAATAATGGCGGGTTGATTGGTGTGATTCTCACGTTGGCGGATGGGCTGGCGAGCGCCGCGAGTGCGCTGGAGCTTACTGCGCGTGAGAAAGAGGCCAAGGGCCGTGGCGGTCAGCATGTTAAACAGCAGTCGTACCAGCAGCAGCAGGACGGGCAGGCTGACAGAGGCACATTGACGATTCATGGTGGTCGGAACCTGACGCACACCCTGGCCACTGCGCGAAGATTTGTTTTTCGCAAGGGGATGCCGGTTTTTACGAGGGAGTACGACTCGGACACTCTGTCCAAGTCTGGTTCTCAGGCACGCGCCGCTGATCCCTTTGAGCAGCCGACCTGGTCGGACAGGAACATCAAAGTGTGGGCCATGCCAATTCGACCCTCGCCGTCGCAGCGGTCAAGAAGGATATCGCCTCAAGCGGGGCCTCAGAGTCCGAGAAAGAGGAGCTTGGACGAGTTCCAGGAGCGCGACGCTGACAAGCCTGCTCTGGACCAGCGCGCCCAGGACCACATCATGAGGCAATCGGTCATCTCCGACATGTTTAATTCATCATGGAGGATGGATGCTCTCGTCGAGACTCCTTTGGCTGAAGTCAGAATGCCTGCGATCATGTTCGTCCGGGATCCCGAAACCAAAGACCTCAAGCCGTACAATGGCCCTGCTCCTGGAAGTGACAAGCCACTTCCCGACATCAAGGTACTCGTGCGTCAACCCTGGCCTGGAGCCAGTGTGGAGAAACTACCACCCACGACGCGGTGCGATGAGGCGGTTTCTTATATCGTGCGCAATCACGATCTCAGAGGCAAATTCGATCCACAAAAGGCGAAAGAGCTTAACGTTCGCGCCGGTCCCAACTTTGCGCGCCTGACGAAGGGCGAGAATGTGCTGTCTGAGGACGGAAAGACCGCCACCCCGGATATGGTCTTGGGTCCACCACGGCTCGGGAAGGGGTTGGCAATCATTGATCTGCCTACTTCTGACTACGTCGATGATTTGGTTGATCGACCGGAATGGAACTCGGCCGCTGTCACCACGGGACTAGAGGCATTTCTGTGGATTCTAGGACCGGGTGTGGGTGACCATCCTCGCCTCCGCGAGTTTGTCACTCGCATGTCTCATTGCAAACACACCGTCTCCAGCACGGATTACTGTCCCAACTACTTGGCACTGAGTAGCGTGGCAGGGTCCTCCATCAGGCTGGCTAGGTTGCGCGGCGAGAATTATCCCGTCCCCGTTCATGATAACAAGACCCTGCCACAGCCAGGTACTCCTACGTGCGAATCAGAGACGACCAAAGAAATGATCCGCAACTCGCCATTCGAACCGATCAAACCCGGCCTGGTCATCGACATGGAACCCAAATTCGAGCTTAACCGCTCAGAGGTCGTGCCATTGTTCAACCCTGCCGAGACCGTGCAGAAGATCCCTCGCTCCATCGAGCAGCGGGTGACTGCCATCCGTAGGCGGGTCATGAAACCCCAGTTTCAAGAGAAACTGGCCGAGTTTCGTAAAGACCTTCCTGGAGCCAATGTGGAGATTGTAACTCTGGGAACTGGCTCGTCCTCGCCGTCCAAGTACCGCAACGTCTCCAGCACTCTTGTCAACGTGCCTGGGGTGGGATCCTATCTGCTTGATTGTGGCGAGAACACTATCGGCCAGCTCAAGCGGATGTACGAACCGAAGAAGCTGCAAGAGGTGCTGCAGAACCTTCGGCTGATCTGGATCAGCCATCTGCACGCTGATCATCATCTTGGCACTGCTTCCGTCATCAGGGAATGGTTCCGTGCGAACTACCCGAACGGCGTACCCCGAGCAGGCAGCGTCGAGACCGACATACGCAAGATCCTCCAAGACAAACGCCTGTTTGTCGTGTCCGAGGAGATGATGGTCGGCTGGCTTGAGGAGTATGCCGGCGTCGAGGACTACGGTTTTGGAAAGCTAGTGCCTCTGGCTGCCCATCCCAGCTACGTCAACGGAGACTTCAAGACAAAATTCACCTACCGTCACTGCCGTGACGACGGCTCCTACCCCGGGCGTGAAGCCGACGGGAGCCGGCCTCAGACGTCCACCCTCGACTTCAACGACGATTCCTCCCCTGTGACCCCGCTCCTGCGTCAGGCCACGGGGCTCGCCGATATTCTCACAGCTCGGGTCTCACACTGTCGTGGTGCCATGGCCGTCTCCCTCGTCTTCCCTGACGGCTTCAAGCTCTCCTTCTCCGGCGACTGCCGCCCCTCCGCCAACTTCGCCACCATCGGCCGCGACTCGACCGTGCTCATCCACGAAGCCACCTTCCAAGACGACATGGCCGTCTCCGCCAACGCAAAGAAACACTCCACCACCTCCGAAGCCCTGKAAGTCGGCCGCATGATGCAAGCCCGCACCGTCGTCCTCACCCACTTCAGCCAGCGGTACCAAAAAGTCGCACATGTCGATCACGGCGCAGGCACCGCAAAACCAGACCCCCAACCCAAGCCCGCCCCCATGGCCCGCGAGGACCTCGACGTCCCAGACGATGAACCAGTCGCCGAACCCGAACCCTCCACCCTTACCGTCACGGAAAACAAGCCACCCCTCAAAGCCCCCGTCACCGCCGCCTTCGACTACATGCGCATCCGCGTCGGCGACATCCCCATCGCGCAGGCCTTCGCCCCCGCCGTCGAGAAGCTGTTCGATATCCTCGAGCGTGCCTCAGCAGTCGAAGCAAACAAGCAGAAGAAAATCCGCGAAGCGGCCGATGCCCTGGCGAAAGAGAAAAAGCAAAAGAAGAAGAAGGGGGCCGCTGAGCCTGAGCCTGCGTCTGCGTCTGCTCCCGCTGCCGGCGAGGCCATGGATATCGACCAGGGTCGGTCCGTGTGGAGCGCCAGCGAAAGCGAGAGCGGATGGGGCTCGAGCGACGACGAGTGGATGGATCGGTTTTGGCGTGGGAAGCACAGTCGGAGTCGTAGTCAGAGTAGGAGTAAGGGTCGGGGCGGACGGCGCTCGAGTCCCAGTATTCGGACGAAGAGCGGTGATGCTGCCTAGAGTATTCCAGGATAGATGGAAAGTTGTGCGCGAATACATGTATAGACAGAGTTGTATCTGTGGCTCGTTTCGTGCCATGTGCGCATGCATATACATAAGACTTTTATTGGCCAGCCAAGCGACATGTTACAAAACGTGCTATCAAGTACATCCATTATCTCAGTCTACTGGATTACAAGAAGTGATTACCCTCTATAAACTAGCCCCGAAGATATTACTAGAACCCGGCAACAGCCTTCTCCGCATCGTCCTTGCCGTACAGCCCCTCCCCTAGATTCTGTACACACTCCTCCCTCCAGTTCTTGGGCGTGAACTTATCCACAATCTCCTTGAACGCATCGAGCGTGCAGAAGGTCTCGTCGCCGGGGAGATGGTTCTCCGCTTTCGCTGCGCAGCCGGGGATCCGGACGGGGTGGTCATTGTATCGAATACGCACGTAGTGGTTCTGCAGCGCCTGCCGTGTTGAGTTCGGGAGAGATGAAAGCGGGGCGCGGTCGGTGTCGGACGAGGGCGAGGCCTCATGGCCGGTGAGGTACGAGAGGAGGCCTCTTTGCTTGGCGGACGGGGAAGGTGACGACGCGGGGGGTTTCTCTGCACGGGAGAAGAGTTCAATAGCGATGGAAGAGGTGAAAGGCGGCCATTTGGCGTCGAAGGCGCCCACGCTGCCCAGGACAGCGGCGAGGGTGGTATCGTGGCACCCGCTCATGGCGAACTTGATCGCCTTGCCGTTCTCCGAGGACGAGCCGGAGGCGGAGCGCTCGCTGCGCCAGCCGCCGTTGGCAGCGGCGTTGACCATGCGGTCGACCACGTCGCCCATCAGGGCGCCGATCCCAAGTTTCCGGTACTCCCTGCTCTCCGCGTATCCGGCGAACCACTCGTCGACAGCGATGGTGTTGGTGTACTCGCGGGCTTTCTTGTCATAGAACTCCGCGGGTAGTCTTGTGGCGGGACCGTGGGCGTCGGTCGCGTTGATCGTGTCTTGGATACCGGAGAGCCGGGGATGGGAGTCGACGGCGATTTGGGGGGAACCGTCCGGCATCCATTTAGACCAGACGCTGTTGAGGTAGTTCATTTGTTCGGACTCGTTCCCTGTAGCGCTATCGTTAGGCTCAATTTTCACATCGTTGATTTTGAAACAGAAGCGTACATCTTTTCGCGGCACGATCAGCGAATAGCCGTGCCAATTGCCTGAATCGCCGGCAGTTCCCCTCATTGGGAAAGAGTGTCTCATCCGAGAAAGAGCGAGCAACAATCACCGGCGGAGGGAAGTCTTGCGTACGCGCACTGGCCGGGTACATGCCCCAGAAGGCTTGCTGGAGAGACTCGAGAGCTCGGGGGATAGGCGTGGCGCGAAGATACATATCTTCCGTATCCGATTTGACCTTTGGCATGAAACCTAGCTGATCGACATATAGATGTCTCAGACGCTGACCCAGCTCAAATGTGGTCTCCCGCCCTGTATCTGTCAATTCACCATGTTGGCTGTGAAAGGTGCGAAGCGTATATCCAGTCAGCTACCAAGTCCTCGCAACTACCAATTGGTCCTCGGAAGTCAGGGAACCTGCCAGATACCCTCTATGTCACCCGTCGCACCCAGGGCAACGACCGACTCGTCTCTGTCACCAAAGGCTTCCATTTTTCTTCGCCATTGAAAGCCATTCCACGATGAGAGGTCTTTCTCACTGGCTGCCATCTGGATCATCCGACGCGCGACATTGCAATACGGCCAATCTTTGAGTGGTCCTTGAGTTAGGAACGAGCAGTAAGGCTGAGGGCGATCGTGAATTCGGTGCGGGGGTCCTTACATGGCGCGAGGCCTGCCTTGGAGATGTCAGCTCGAGTCTCATGCATCGATAAGGTCAGAAATGGACATGTTACACACATTCTGAAATCGCGAGGAGACCGGTGTCCGTTCACCTTGAATAACTGTTCTTAGATCCAATTGCTCGGAGATAGTTCGACAGCAGGAAATATCGTACCGTGACGAAGGAACTACATTCTCACTCAGTACGCTTGATTGACTCGGCCCGGGAAAACATGTTTTTATCTCATCACGTACCACCTGGACCAATTGAAGCTGAAGCTCCTTTGGATAGAGCTTCTCGAGCTCTTCCTTGGAGTAAGGCTCACGGGGCACAAGAGTCGTCATTGGTAACCCCTCACGTAGAACTGAAGAAGTAAAATGGTTCTTGTGGCAATAAAAAGGGGCCTTGCACTGAAGGAGCCCAGAAGAATAGCAATTGGGTGCAAAATCAACGCAGCACCTCGTACTCAAAGAAAGTATCTTACGGTGACTTGGGTTGGGCGCTTGATGACGCCAACGGGTGGTGCGCAGGAAAGGGGCCAATCAGTGCAGTGCCGAGGACCACCTGTCGCGCTCATTGGGATCGACTCTTCTTTGGTCCCTATTCACTCTCTACAATTCCTGGATTATCTCCAGACACTGACCTCGAGATATTCTTTCACTACGGACGGTTCAAGTGAAATATATTTAAATCTAATTGAGCTGTAGGTTGACTATGTGCGATGACGTACAGTCCGAGGCATGTCGCAGCCAAAAATCCAGTTAGCACTAAACAGCATCAGCGATGATGCTTGCTATTCAATAATGTCAATAGCTCCAGCGTGTTCGCTTCGTCAAATAATACTACCTCTTCTTCGCCTGTTTCGCTTCAGCTTCCTGCTTCATGGCTCTGAGACGGGCCCCCAATATTCGAATCAGCACATTGCCTGGAATTAGATGAAAGCTCAGACCCAGGAGGGAGTGCGGCCAATACGCCCAGACAACCGGTCCATCGCATCCGACGCGATCTAAGGCCGCTGAAGCCAGAGTGCGAGAGGTTGGGCAGAATAGGCCCACGGCCACTTCATTTGCATGACTATTAGTATTTCCCACTCGTAGCCCGAGAACTTCCACGTCTTTTCCGTCGAGGGTCACTTCGGCTTGCAGCGAACGGGTGAAGGATTCCACGAATCCCTTGGAGGCACTGTATACTGTGAGGGTCGGCATCACATAGGCTGCTGCGGAAGAGACGGTGAGAATGAGACTCGGGCTATTCTTTTCCAGTATCGGCATCAGGACGCGCGTGATTTGCGCCGTAAAAGTAGAATTAAGGCTGATGATTGCCTGCACGTCTTCATGTGTGAGCTCGGCCAGCCGCTCAAACGGCTTCACCCCTCCTCCAGCATTGTTGACCAGAACAGTGAGACGGGCGTCGCCAATCTCTTGTGCAATCCAGCTGAGATCTTCAGAGCTTTTAAACGCGTCGAGGACGATGATCCGAACCTTTGCATTCGGGAACTCGGCCAGTAACTCGTCCCGTTTTCGTAGTAACTTGTCGTGGTTCCGACCGTGTAGGAAGACATTGAATCCACGCTTGCAGAGTTCCTGGGCAAACCCAAAACCTATTCCATCGCTCGCGCCGGTCACCAGAGCCCAAGCATCTTTCCCCGGGGGGTTGTAGCGCGAAAGACTGGAGGGTCGGAGGTAGCAGTAAAAATGGCGGGCGACTTGTACGGCAAGATAACAAGTGGATGCAGCGCCAATGTAGCCGAACGCGGTTTTCAATTCCTCCAGTATTTGCAGCATTATAGAGGGTCGTTGGTGATAATTAGCTCCTGGATGGGATGGCGGGTGTAGGCGCAAAGGGATTCAGTTTCACCTCAAACTGCGCATGAGAGTTATATATATACCACTAGCGACCTCGACTCCCGTTAGTTAGGGCTGGTCAATAAGATTTTAGTCGTCGAGACTAGAGCTGTTCGAAAGAAAGTCGTAGTCATTGAACTGTATCTGTCCTACTTCGCCATGGAGAGAAATAACCGGTTGGTCTTTGACGGCGCAATGGTGCGATGAGATCATCCATCACGGGATCGTGGCCGTGTCGACCATCGCGATGCGCAACTAGTCTCATTTGTCAGGGACCAAGCTTGTTCGAGGGAGCATCTTCTCATGATACACCAAGCATGGTATGTCGAAGTGGGGAATAGCAATTAGACTATTCGTCTGGGTAGCTCTCAAGAAGATCCAGATCGAGGCAGTTTGACACTCGGTGACAGCGAACGCTGAACGCCAAGCCAGCCTACCCCGGCTTATCTCCAGACCACACTGCATCTTCACCTTTATCAACACTCGACCTTTCTCGCTGCCATTGACATCCAAGGTATTGACAGCACGGTTGTCTGGACCGTGTCATTCTACCTTCTGCAATATCATATTGAGTTAGACGGTGTCCGTCCTACGCAGGAACTCCCCTATTGTGTTCTGGTTCTCTCCAGTTCTTATATACCCTCACGTGCATGCAGTGTTCGGGGATATTGGATATTCAATATTACAACACCTATTTTCTGGTCAAAGTTGCAGCGCGCCTCGCCATGAGGCTGAAGATCTGACCTTCTTTCGACATTCACTCATTGGTTTCTTCCTGCCAGTGTCGCACCTTCACCTTCAAGGAGTACATTGGATCACTGAGTTGTCTTCTTCACTGCCGTCGCCTTTTTGAAGCCTCTTGGCATGGATGTAAGGAAGCCTGCTCCCGGGTCAATTCCCTCGTGACAACTATGCACGTCGTTGACGATCCATCGTTTTGTCCGAAGCTTGTCTCTCCGATGGAATTGACAAACCGTCGCAAATAATGAGTCTAATGCTGAGCTGACTTCTCTTGTCCCAGATTGCAAACCAGCAGTTGGGGCCACCGGTACAAGGCAAACCGGGCCATCTGGCCACGAATAAGCCTCGAGATGCTAAACCGCGTTTACTTCTGATGGGACTTCGCCGGTGAGCTATCTGCGTCTGGATGATGCTTAGACATGTTACTGACTTTACTCAGGAGCGGCAAGTCATCCATCGCCAGCGTTGTCTTCCATAAGATGCCACCAAATGAAACACTGTTTCTAGAGTCGACGACCCGTATCCAGAAAGATTCGATTCAGTAAGTGCGCCCCTGCACCGCCGTATCTTGTTCTGACACGATCTTTAGCTCTTTCATGGACTTCCAAGT